AGTTGACCCACATGCTGCATATGGGTGTTGAACCAGCCGTAAGCACTGGGCCTGGATGTGAACTGCACACAACGCTCACTCCGGCCGGCCAAAGACCCTCACTGATCATGATGCCTGTGTGGGGTCAGCCTGGGACATGCACATGTGGTACCTGCTCCAGCTGGTCGGGACCCAGGCCACACACAATCCCCCACCTTGGCCTCTCTGGGGCAGGCTCTGCATGCAGTGTGGGTCCCAAACTAGCTGGAGTGGGTCCCAAACTAGCTGGAGTGCCACTGCATGTGGCACACATCCCAGAATGGCTCCACATGGGCACCACATGTGGCATAGTCCCAGACCAACCAAAATGCTGGATCCAGCATGCGAGGGAAGGGGGGTGATCCAGCCTCAGTGCATTTGTATGCTGTTCCCCACAGTTTTCTTTTCAATGTGCTCCATCTAGCTGCACTGGCAAAACTTTCTAGAGCAGGGGTGTCAAATTCATCTGGCTTCATGGGCTGGATAAGTGGTGCGGAGCTGGTCCATGGGCCAGATAAATGGCATGAAGCTGGATCATCTCCCTTCCCTCACAGGCTGGATCCAGCCTCATGTCATTTATCTGGCCCATGGACCACACCACTCATCCAGTCCTTGAGGCCAGATGGATTTGACACCCCTGCACTAGAAAGTTTTCCTAGTGCAGCTAGATGGAGCACATCAAAAAGAAAACTGGGGAACAGCATAAAAATGCATTGACTCTGATATCCAAGCAAATAGCACAGGACTTACTGCCTTGATTGGATTATCTATTTTCAGACTTAATTCAATAAAAACCTCATTTTTAAAAATTTAGATGAAATTGCCGAAGATCCTTAGAATCTTCTGACACAAAAATTCAAGACTGACTTACTATGCAGTAGAGCAACAGGGGGGCATGCCAGAAATTCACCCTGCACCCACCCAAGTGCCACTCCAATCCCCTTCCCCTGCCTGATCTGCTGCTCTGCTTTCTGCTTCCTTCCCCGTGCTCCCTGCCCTGTTTTGCTATTTGCTTCCTGCCCTCTCTGCCACTGCTGCCTGTCCCCTCCCTGATCTGCCATGTGCCACACAGAGAGGCTGCCCACGCCACTTCTGGCACCCATGGTACAGACTGGACAACCATGCAGTAGACACTGCTTTGGCCATAGCGTAATATTTAGGAAATGCACTTACAATATCTTGGCCTTATCAGCATATTTGCATTTCCCAGAAAGAGACAGCTGTGCATGCTAAATTTGTTGGACACAATGTTCTTTTCCTTCCCTCTTCCCTTCCTCTCCCAACTCATACAGATATTAGTTTTGTCTAATTATATGAATATTTATTGCTTGATGAGAGAGAACTGGCATACCTACAGTCACCCTTCCCTCCATCCCTATTTAAACCAGAGACTATTGAGAGGAACTGACTGTAAAGAAGTAAAGTCCTATTTCCCCAGCTCTTGCTGCCACAGGCAATCAATTTGGAGCAAAGGTTCCATCTTGAAAATGTCAAACAGAATGAGAAAAAGCTAAAATCAAAACTGCTAAAGTCCATTCCAGCCATTCCTCTGGGCCCAGCCTCTCCCCTGGATTCTTCTGGTGCATTGCTGAAAGGACAGCTAGAGGACAGCTCTGCTGTGCTGACTGGTGTCACTAAGGTCTCCTGCCTCACGTTAGTGATCATTCTTCCACCCACTCCCACACTTGAGAAGTAGCTTAGCGGAGCAGCAATTTTGACTGTTGGTCTGAGAAAGAACAAGCCATGGGACATCAGTAGGGGTCTTGCTGTCTCTCACTTCCCCACTTAACAGCCTGTTAGGAAGCCAAGCAGAACTGTAGCAAAGGCAACAGACTTACCTCCTAGTTTCCTTCCTAGCTCCAGCTAAGCAATCTGCTTCCTATGTGTGGGGAAAGGGAAACCATTGCTACAGAGACACAGAGGTGACAAGGGGAAGCAGCAACTTCAGCTAGGGGTCACCTCCGTTTTGGAGAAGGGGTAGTGGTGAACAGGAACGGGGTGAGGTGCTACTGAACTATATACCCTTTCCCAGTTCCCCCCTCCACCCCGTGTAGCCATAGAATGGGTAGCCCAAAGAGAGAAATAGCTCAAATCTCTCTCCATGCAGCACTGGCACTCTCCCTTCACTCTTGCTGGGAAGGATCAGCACTGAAAATAGGAGGGGAGTTACACCTTCAAGTCTCATCTTCTGTAGGCTTTTCTACTCAGTATTAATCGTTGTGATAGTATCAAAGACACGAAACCAGATCAGCATCAACAGTTCATTTCTCCATAGTCATCTGATTACAACCACTTCTGGCCTCAACTGTCCTGAACTGGACTGAAGCCATGGACAGAGAAGCAATGGCATACTTGTTTTGTTCACCACAAAATATAATTTGGTTTCTGCTGGCTGTAGCTACTAACCCCCCCACCCCAAATACAAAAACCCTACCTTGGATTCCTTTGTTCTGGATGTGCACAGCTACAACTGGCATACAAATACATGCTATTTCTTGAGTGAGTCCAGCTGGGTTGAGAGAAGTGGATCTATTAAAATGAAAAATGTCCAGAAATATCTTCAGCAGCTGGAATAACTATAGCCCGGCCCACAACTGGAGGTGGTGATGTGGATGAAACAAGGTGTACAACCCACTGTCCATGGGTGAGAGGGATGGGTAGGAAGGTCTGTGCATGAAACCTTACCATGAAGTCCTCTGAAATTAAGACCATCTAGAACAGACAGAAGATTGCTAATGAAGCTAGCCTTATCCACTACCATCTTTTAAAACTAAAAGATGGCACACAAAAGCACATCTAACTTAAAATAGTAAATATAAGTGTGGCATGAGTTCATTTTTAAGCACACATGTCAGACTACAGTGGCTAAACCCCACAAATCCAATACTTTGCAATCTAAAGACACAGCACAAGGCCAGCTGACATACGGAAAACACAGCATTGTCTGGGTGTTTCTCTCCAAACTTGCCTTTGCAAAGATGGACAGAATCACATCTCTGTCTTATACAACGACCTACCTACACTCATCTGACTCATGAAGAAGCAGGAAAATTTAGGTCAGAAATATGTGTGCACACCCACATACTCAGTGCACCTTCCACAGTGAGGAAATAAACAACAGCTTTGCCCCGAAAGTGCCGCGGACCAAATCGGATATGTAAATGTATGAGCACACTGTATCTAGACTGCCACTTCAGAGACTGCAGAACATGCTGCTAAAGATTGCAATCAGCTGCTGACACTTTGCATTTCCCCCACAGAGCTCAGCACTAGGAGGAGGAGGGGAGAAACATGCCAAGGGACCAACAAGGCTGAACATGGCAGCAATTACGCTTAAATCGAAATAAAATCCATGTATGCCTTTGCAACACCCAATAATGCAAAACACTGCTTATTTAAAGATACATGTTCTGTAAAGAAAAAAAAACCAGACAGGAATTCCTTCATTAATTAGTAAGATGCACAGGGAGTGATGACATTAAACAGTCATTATTGCTCAGAAGAGAGGGGAAGGGAACCTCCAAAGTACAAAACACACAGCCCAACACATTTTTCTTATGATCACCTGAAACCCAGTTTTACAACTGTTTTTTTTACAGAGGAACAAAGTTAGAGTAACAAAGACACTGCACCTTTTAAAGGTAAAAGTCAGTAACCTGTTCAGAATGAAGTGCTGAGCATCCTCGATTTAAGGGGCACTGAGAGCAACTCAGTACTTTGCAGGACTGACTCTTACTGCTTTATCTGGAGCAGAATGGGTACATACTTGCTTTCACTTAGCAAATTGAATTTAATAAATTAATTCAGAAGCACACATTCCCACCAATATACATATTCGATAATACTGTTAGCAGCTTTTAAAGAGGAGGAGAAATTCAGTAAGGCCCTCAAAAATTTCCTTAATATTTGTCCAGACTTGACTGTCTGGACCCTGAAGCATCACTGACCAAAATCTCAGACGAGGTCTGGCCTTAGGAACATGAGAAACAAACTGTTTCACTGAGCTGTGCCCTCCCTAAGGCTATGAAGAGCATTAAAAAATAACAGCGACATCTGTGCCACTGTGGAAGGGGCTTCCATTTGTAAGACTGCCAGGGGCCTCACTTGTTTCTCATCAGTTGATTCCAACATGAGTTGTGGGGACTCAGTCCCTTTCAGAATCTCACCTCAAAGTCATCATCCATCACTTCTGCTCCCTGTTAATTTCAAACAGCTGCTTGCTGCTTTCACAGAGGCAGAGGAGTGAAGGGCATCCAATCTCCTCTAGGGGTAGGTCAGTCCTTCCCAAAACCCTGTCTTGTGCCATCTTCCCTCTCATTTAAAATCCTAACACTTTCATTTTGTCAGAGAAAATGCTTATCCACCGCCAAGGCCATAAGGAAGAAAATCTCTAAGGCCAGCTGTGCATGTCAAGACAACTCCATCCCTGTCATTTTTTATTGCTTTGGCAACTGCTACAAGTTGGTGGCCAGTGGCCACAATTATCAGCAGAAGCCAAAATCCATCCCTGAGTCTGTAAGGAGCAGCATTCCTCTTACTACTCTCAGAGGAGAGAGGTGTCATTGCCGCCCAGGAGTTGCAAAACCCAGAACTTTCTGCTATGGACATCTCCTAAATTCTGCTGGAAGCCTGAAATGCTGCAACAGCATGAAATGCATGGAGAAATATTCAAATGCAGAAGATTTTATTGAATTAGAAATTACAGCATTGATTTTGTTATTCGTTGTCAGATTTAATTCAATATTAATCTCTGTGTATGAATGTTTAACCTCCCCCCACACACATTTTCATGCTGATGCAGAATTTCTAGTCAGTGATAGAAATATACAGAGCCAGGGATATGTGCAGCAAATCGATCTACCTGCACATGAGCAAAGGCCTCTGTCACGGTAGTCTGTAAAAACCCAGTTCATGTTTACTGCTTGCCACCCCCTTTCGTCTGAGCACAAGGAGAAAGGAAGAAGGCAGCTTGAAACACTTACGAAGGGCGTGCCACTCGTCCTGGCGGATCGTCTTGGTGATGTTGTAGGTGAGGTTCTTGGGAATTGTCGCTGAGGAGTAGTGGTACTTGATATATGTGCACTGATCAATTGCTCCTGGAAAAGGCAAAAAGGAAAAGCAATTAAATATTGTTACCCAAAAGCAACATGACCTCCTATCCATGTTCCAAACTGAGGTCTGCTGCCAGATAACAAACACTTAGATACAAATGTATTCCTCACATCACTCCACTGAATCCAATAGGGTTGCTAGGTCTGTCTTTGGCCCCTTTACAGCTATCCCCTTTAGCATTATACAAAGCACATTTTTTATCTTTCCTTCATTAAGAAAAAATGTAGTGCAGCCTATGTAAAATAAGAACTTTTATGAAAAACAATCTTCACATGATTTTCTCCCCTGAAGAGAGAAAGGGAAAAAAGAGAGAACCACCTGTGACAGATACTTGCCATATCACTTAGCTCCCCTCTGGAAGGGACACAAACACCATTGTTATGGGAATGGTAGAACCAGAATAGGACAAAATAGAAACTGACACAGCAATGCATGCCAACCAAAAAGGACAAACTTCAGATGTAAACATGGATGGAAGAACTAGTATAGTACTCCCTTTATTTTGTGTCTGAAATTTCCCATATTGGCTACAGAAGATAGAGGTCTATGATACCACTTTGTTTGTTTTAATGGTGACATTATATACTCGTCTTCAGTCATTCCCCTCTCCCCACAATAATTTTCACTCTGTATTTCAATTTCCTAAGATATCCCTCAATGAAAGGAATGCCCATAGGAGCATGGTTGCTTCCCATAAATGATGGCTTATGCTGGTTCAGGGATGTCAGGATGGTTGCAAAGCCAGAAGGGTTTCCTATAGCTCTTTCTCCAGCACCCTCCCTAACATTATTTCTTCAGAGCATCTTGCTAAGCAATAAGGGTCTAAGTCACAGCCCACTGTAGTCAAGTTTATATTTATGTTGATGGGCTTTTGATCTGGTGTTTAAGAAATAAGCAGATTATTTTCAGTTTGACTGGTCATGCGCTGTCTTCTACAGGGAGCTAGCTCTTATTTCTTTGATACATAGCAGATGATGGATGTGTTTATGTATTAAAATACATAAAATGATACATTAAATATAATAAATACAGCTATAAACTACATATACATAAAACAAATGAAAAAGTTGGCAGGTGATGTCAAGAGGCCTACCTCCCAGTTCCAAAGGGTTAAACGTGCTTTCATTTCTCTAGAAATGTAGGTTTTAAGCTGCCTTAGGTCATAAAACATTACTTGGCACAAAGTGAAACAACACACTATGAATTCACAGTGTGAGTACAGCATTATGCAACAAAATTATTAGTTACAACCCAGACTGTTAGCATCTTCCAAAGTTAGTGCAGCACAAACATTGGAGGTCCTCATTGTTTGCTTTTCTTAAGTGTTCTTAGCATTCTGCCTTTGACAGCAATTAGATTAGACAAAGCCAAATATTATAGAGAAAAAGGCAAAATATTTACATATGTATCCGCCTGCCCTGACAGCGTGATGGGCTTCTGCGTGTGCCTGCACCATCTGGGCACCAAATGTACGCCCAGAATTAAAGTTTCGAATCAAGAATAGTATTTAAAAAAAGAAAGCTAGCGTAGAAAGAGCTAAAAAGAATTAAAATTGCAACTTTCTTGGTAATTAGCTTAACATCTCCTTGCTGCTTTAGAAAATTACTCTGCCCACTTTTGTTCAGCTACCTTCATGGATTGGAAACTTTGGCACAAAGATGGAAAATCCTTATTTGTCAGGATTTAATATTTAGGGTACTGGATACCTATTCAGAGACATGAATTATCTCAAGGAACACAAATCCTGGAAAAATTAATTACTGGTACATTATTTAGTATTTTTAAGACAATACAACCATTACAAAAAGAGCAGGTACTGCAAAGCACTGACTTCAAGTGAGATGCAAAGCACTTTTAAGTCCTAATGCAATGAGAGGTGAGCACTCTCAGCATCTCGCAAGGACTGCTCATCACCATGCAACAAGGGAGAGATTATGGCCTCAGTTTAGGATGGAATTTAAGCACATACGTAAGTCCCCGTAGTTTTATGGAACTTCAGTAAAGGTTTAAATGCTGTCCTGAATAGGGCATAGGGCTTTCCTGAAATAAGGCCTGTGCCAAGTGTTTAATAGATAATTGAAAGAGAGCATTTGTGGTAAAAAGAAACTCTCAAGAATGGTGAAGCAAGAAGAAACATGTTTCTCCTGGTGGGATTATCTGGGCATATTCCACCTAATCAATTCCCCACTATTACAGGTGTCTTAGGAATTGGCAGCTTCTTGGTCTTTTCTGTTGTCTGCCCATGGCGCACAATAGTTTAGTCTTCTAGGGCATCTATACACATGCTCTGGGAGTGAGCGCTTTAATTAGAGAGGCTTTGAGGGCTGCTCTATTTAAAGCGCCTGGAGCATCTCATGTATCAGTGTCCCCACACTTCAAAATGGCAGTGGGGGCACTCTATCTAAAGCCTGTTTGGCGAGCTTTAGAAAAAGTGCCCCCACCATTTTGAAGTGTGGGGACACTGATACATGAGATGCAGAGGCTGGCTGGAGCATGGTGATTACGCGATTGAGTAATTAATTAACTGATTAATGAATAATCAATTAATCAAGTAATCGAGTCTGTTCCAATGCACTGCAATTACAGCACTTCAGAGCAGCCTCCGCACTCATGTATAGGCACCCCTAAAGACTGAAATGCTTTGGTCTGACTCAAGGTATTAGGTTCAATCCAGGGGTACCTGGGTGAAATGTAACGCTTGATATATACAGGAGGTCAGACAAGATGATCTGATGATCCCTTTTGTGTTTAAAGCCCATGAAACTGTCCTTCTGTGGTCACTAAATTTAATAGTCAGGAGATGCAGTTCAGAACAGCACTTGTTTAACTTTGAAGCACTTGATTCATTTCAGGCAATAGGAAGTGGCCACTGGTGGAGCATGTTCCCTGTAGAAGAGGTGTGACTGTCTTTGTCTAGTGACTATTGCTGTCAGACAAGGGCAGATAGGCTGTAATGGGAAATACTCCACTCTTCCATAAACTCCTCAATTCTAACCACATTGTACTATAGCCAGAGATGTAAACTCAGGCTCATGTTCTAAGATTGTTTGCCACTGGAGTCACTGCTGTAGTCAGTAGAAAAGTAATATTAAACAACTGGTGCCAGAAGAGAATCAGCATCTGAAAATTTGGGAAAGGGCATCCCTTTGCCCAAGATCCTCCACAACCATAAACAAAAGGATGACTAATTAATATTAAGTGTTTTATGGAAGAGACTGCTACTTCCCCTCCTTACAGAGAAGGGCTCACTCCTAGTATAAAACAAAACAAAACCAAAAAAACCTTATGTCTTCAGAGCCCTCCTACAGTGCCCTGGGAGAACATCAGTCATTACAGTTGGGACCCAGAATTACTCCTGAAAAATCCCTGCACTCTTGAGGGTGTGCACTTGTGGTCTCCTCTCTTTAGAGAAAACAAAAGAGAGTTAACCCCCTTTTTTCCATTTGATCAGTGGGGTGTCTCTCCGCATGATTACACTGACACAAGAGATTCAATATTACTGAAACCATGGAGTTTTGCCTTTAGCACAGGTGACTGGGGCCTGGATTTGTGGAGAAGATCATACTGACCATTATCTTGTTGATAGCCACTGTGAACAGCATGGCTGGCCACCAAATGTGGCTAAACAACTGTTACATCAGAGGAGAAATACATCCATTACTCCCCTTACAGAGAGGAATTTTCTGCTGGCATACATCCAAAGGAAGTCAGATGCCCCTCTCATTCCTCAAGCAAAGTAAAGTGCCAGGAAGGGGGCATGCCAAGGGCAAAGCCAGGCCGGAGGGATGGCAGGGCACAGCAAAGCTCTGTTCCTCTATGGTAGCACACATCATTTACAGCAGCTAGGCTGTTCTGATTGATTCCAGGGCTAGGCTGGTGTAGGCTCAGGCAGCTGTAACTCACTGCATCACAGTACTTTCTTCTGTAATAAGAGCTGAGATACAGGATAAAATAGAACTCAAGGGCCTCAGAGGCATCATCACCCAATACAGTTATTACATTCATTTTTATTCATGCCGTGTTTCTCTTATCACTCTGCTCACATGGCTCACTTCCACTCCCATTCTCCACAGAGCCTTGGTCCCCACTAACAGCTAATAGCTCCCTCTCTTCACCCAAGAGAACCACCACACCACAATATGGCAGTGATACTCTTTGGCTTTCCTCACCCTCTCTTCCATTTCCAAAGTGCTTTTCCAATATTGTGGTCTTGGTTCAGGTGTTCATTACCCTGCATCCCCACCACATGGCCAGCATGTTGAGTGCTGCCCTTGCTGGCAGTCCTAGCAAAGGATGGGCATGGGGAGTAACTAGTCCCTCACCCCATGAAGCAGGTAAATAAAAGATGCGGGACCCATTAGTAAGGAAGCTGACAGCTTCTGCCCTTGTTATGCAGACCTATAGATTACTTTAGTCTCGAGGACTGCTAGGCTGGTATCCATTTTTTTCTTTAAAAAAATGAAAATATTTCACATCATACACCTGTCCCAACATACAGTCTTTCCCTTTAGCTGAGAAGTGTTAGAAAGTTGAAAACTTTATCAGACATTTGGTCACATTGGTTCTGATGATTTGGCCTCAAAAGTACCTAGGAGACTCTGATCTGCATAGTCAGGTTGACCGTTCTAGAGGCAGTTTCACAGATTCATGTGGTCTGACATCCTGCATAGCACAGGCCATAACTAACTGTCTGACAGTTGCATGACAGAAGGTTCTGCTTCAGAAAGCAACCTCCCAAGGTGGTAAGAAAATGGTGATAGTTGGTGAGAACAACAAAATGAATGTCAATTTGCAGTCACTGACCCAGATGTCATCTTTGTTATAGCTCAGATGAAGAAAGGTCAAGGTAGCCTTCAAGGTTGTTGTTTTATGATGGTATTTACTGAATCCTCCTCATCCCAGCATAGCTTGGAGGATTCTCCAGTGTTCCCCATTGTCAGGACTGCATGTTATGGAAAGCATCTTTAAGAGTCAGGAAAGGGTT